TTATTATTATTATTATTATTATTATTATTATTATTATTATTATTATTCAAAATGGCAGGCGACAATCTCTCTAAACGACCTTCCATGAAGGCTATGGCAAAGTCCCACTACTTGCGCAGGCAGGACAAGGAACCTTCCAAGGCCTCCCAACGAGACGCCTTAAGGCGCCATAAGGCGTTGGAAAAGGAGTTTGATAGGCGATCAAGGGAGTCCCGCTCGGGGCCTCCAGCCCTTCCTCCTCCCACTCCCCCCACCTCTACTCAACCTCTTCCCCCTCCAGACCCATCTTCCCTATCTAGGCGCAGTCCACTTCAGGGTCACCTGACCCCTGGACCACCGACCAGACGGACCCCTGAAGCCACCTTTACACCTACGGCTGCTGGTCTGCGCCAGGAAGAACCCTCTACATCTGAGGTTCCAGCCCACATCAAGGCTTGGATGGAATCGGCTATCCGCCAGGGCATTGCGGAGGGCCTGCAGCACATGGCCAGATCAGGCTTCTCTCCACGGGCTCCTGAGCACGACTCTTTATCCATCAGATCCCTTCCACAGCCGGACCCCCCGGTTGGTCAGGTACTCTCTCAGAGGGACAGCCCTCCTCCAGTAGGGGCCCAGGAGGAGGAGGAAGGGGACTTTGGGGACTTCAGGGAAGAGGAAGAGGATTCCCGGATGGGATCCTCCCGTTATAGTGAGCCCCTCTTAGAGGCGGACCTCATGGAGGGGGAGATGTCGGAGGACGAGGGGGCTTCCCCCGACCAACCTGTATTCGGGGCGCTGTTCAAGCCACACATGTTTAAATCCCTCCTCTTTAAAGCCAAGAACGTCTCTGGTCTTCTTCCCCAGTCTCCCTCTGTCCTCCCCCCCCCCTGCCTCAGAGGGACCAGAGGACTCCATTTTCACACAACCAGTGGTGGAGGCTGAGATCATCCCGACCCCACCCATCTTCGTAGACCTAGTAGATAAACAACTTGCTTCCACGGGGGCCCCCCTACACCCTCTAGCCAAGACAAGAGATTCTTTAATCTCGATTCGGCAATGTCTAGTCTTCTAGGCATCCCGGAGGTTGACGATCCCATTGTGGGCCTTGCTTCCTCCTCCACCCCCAGTGAGGCCTTAGAGGCCTTGAAACCTGAGGACAAGCGGACGGAACTGGCGTTGCGCCGGGCCCATCTATCCGACGCTTGGGCCATTAGATCGGCTACGGCTGCCTCATTTTTCACAAGGTCCTCTATCCGCTGGCTCCGGCAGCTGAGAGAGCACGTCCCCGCGTCCAATGTGAGAGCGCACCAAGACATAGCGAAACTGGTGGCCGCAGCCGAGTTCTCAGCTGACGCCACCTACCAATCGGTCAAGTTCTCTTCCAGAGCCATAACATCGCATGTCACAGCTCGCCGCCTGCTGTGGCTCAAGCACTGGCAGGCAGATGTTAAAAACAAGGTCAAGCTGGCCACTGCTCCCATCAAGGGAGACAAACTGTTCGGTCCGGCCTTGGAACCCCTGCTGGTCGAGGGCCGCAGCAAGAGGAAGTATCTGCCCTCCCTTTTTCGGAGGTCAGAGACAAGAGGCCCTCAGCCCTTTCGGAGGGGCTTCCCCCGCCCCTTCTACCAACCCCCCTTCCCGCCCAGATACCCGAGACCCCCTTCCTTCCGGTCCCAGGATCGCTCGGACTCAGGTGACAGAAGCAGACGGGGTGGCAACTATAAGAGGCCCTTTAGGGGATCGGGGGGGAGGCCCTACCGCCGACCCAGATAGAGCCTCCTCCTCCCTCCCCATCGGCGGCCGCCTCAGACACTTCGCCGCCCAATGGGACAAATCCACTTCCGATGCATGGGTTAGGGACACCGTCAGGTTTGGTCTCGCCCTTGAGTTCCGGTCCGCCCCCTCTGATTCCTTCCTGACATCCCCCACCTCAAGGGATCCCGCCAAACGTGCACTAATGGATGCAGCCATCCAACACCTGCTTGACATTCAGGCCATTCAACCCGTTCCACTGGCCCAGAGGGGACGGGGATTCTATTCCCATCTCTTTGTGGTGCCCAAGCATTCTGGGGGATGGAGAGCCATATTGGATTTAAAACGGCTAAACCGCCACCTTATCCAGCGCAAATTCAAAATGCACACCCTGCAATCGATTCTCTTGGGTACCAGGCGGGGAGACTGGTTATCCTCCATAGATCTCTCGGAGGCATACCTGCACATTCCAATCAGGCCCTCTCAGCACAAATTCCTCAGGTTCTGTTATAATAACCTTCACTATCAATACGTGGCCCTCCCCTTTGGTCTGGCCTCGGCCCCCAGGACCTTCACCAAGGTCCTCGCGGCCCTGGCGGCTCACCTCAGGAGCGTCCCCATCCGCCTCCGCTGCTATTTGGACGATATCCTTATTCTCTCCCCATCCAAGACCCAGGCAGTCAGGGATACCAGGGCCACTCTCTCCGCTCTACTGGCACATGGGTTCCTCGTCAATTGGCAAAAGAGTCAACTGACCCCATCCACCCGAATCACCCACTTGGGAGCTATAATCGATTCGGTTACAGAAAAGGTCTTCCTCTCTTCGGAGAGGTTCCTCAGCATTCAAGCTCTGGTCAAACAGATTAGGCGATCAAGGAGGGTGGCGTTACTTGACCTCTCTAAATTATTGGGTAAGATGGTTTCATGCATCTCAATTATCCCCTGGGCCCGTTTACACAGCAGATCCCTTCAGTGGTTCCTGCTCCCATTCCAAAGATCCGGAAGAAGCAACTCCAAGTCCAGAGTCAAGGTGCCTCCAAGGGTCCTCACGTCTCTCCTCTGGTGGACCAACCCCGCCGTCAACAGGGGCCACCTCTTCACGGAACCTCAGCGGCTTACCCTCACCACGGACGCCAGCCTATCCGGTTGGGGCGCTCACATCAATTCGCTCTCGGCTCAGGGCAAGTGGTCGTCGATAGAGCAAAGATGCAGCATCAACTGGCTGGAGCTTCACGCCGTCCACCTGGCCCTGCGCAGCTTCCTCCCCCTAGTTCGCGGACGCCACGTCCTTATTCTCACGGACAACGTCATGGCCAAAGCCCATATCAACAGGCAAGGGGGCACCCAGTTGATGAGGGAGGCCGAGCGTCTCTGCGGTTGGGCAGAATCCAACCTCCTCTCACTAAAAGCCGAACACATCTCCGGAATCTTCAACATCCAGGCAGATTGGCTGAGCAGGGCCACGGTGGACCAAGCAGAATGGCGCCTCCATCCTTCCCTATTCAAGGAGGCGTCCAGAATATTCGGCCTACCGGTGGTGGATCTCTTCGCTTCCCCGTCCAACGCACAGCTTCCACGGTTCTTCTCCAGGTACCCGTCTCACGGGTCGGAGAACCACAATGCACTACGCTGCCCATGGCCCCCAGGGCTCCTATATGCCTTCCCTCCGCTGCTGTTAGTTTCCAGAGTCATACAGAAACTCATCCACAAGAAGGCAGTCCTGCTCCTTTGGCTCCTTATTAGCCCAGGCGACCGTGGTTCACGGACCTCCGCAATCTATCGGTAGCGCCCCCATGGAGAATCCCCCCGGACAGGGTCTCCCTCTCTCAGGGGCCCCTTCTGCATCCGGAGCCTCATTGGCTCCAGTTAGCCGTCTGGAGGTTGAACGGAGCCGTTTGACAAGAGAGAAATTCTCCAGTCAAGTCATCGACACTATTTTGGCCGCTAGGCGACCCTCCACCACACGAATTTATGATGCCACTTGGAAGGGCTTTTGCAAGTGGTGTAGTGGGTCCCAAGTTGACCCCCTCTCCCCCTCTATTGCGCAGGTCCTGGAATTCCTTCAAGAAGGCCTACGTAAAGGGCTTGCACCTAACACCCTGAGGCGGCAGGTCGCTGCCCTCTCAACCGTTGTCTCCTGTGATAACTGCGGTTCCCTTTCTCATCACCCCCAGGTTAGGGCTTTCCTCAGGGGCGCCACCAACTTGTGCCCTCCGACTGTTCACAGGTTCCCCACATGGGACCTCAACAAGGTCCTCATTTCGCTTACAAGACACCCGTTTGAACCTCTGAGGGAGTCCTCCCTTCAATTTCTAACTTTTAAGGTAGTTTTTCTAGTGGCTATTACTTCTGCTCGTCGAGTCTCGGAAATAGCAGCATTGTCAATCAGGAACGATCTATGCGTGTTCCACGCTGATCGGGTGGTCCTTCGCCCCGACCCCACCTTCTTACCCAAGGTTAACTCACTCTTCTACAGGTCACAGGAACTAGTTCTCCCCAACTTTTGCCCCAGACCCTCGAGGGACAGGGAAATCCTTTGGCACACCCTAGATGTTAGACGGGCCTTGCGCATATACATTAAGCGCACACAACCCCTGAGAAGATCAGAATCCCTCTTCCTCTCCTTTCAGCCCAGGACGCTGGGGCTCAAAGTCTCTCCCTCAACCATCAGTCGCTGGATCAGGGCGACTATCGCCAGGTGCTACCTATCACAATCTCTGCCCGCACCTGGTGGAATAACCGCTCATTCCACCAGGAGTGCAACTACTTCGGCGGCTTGGGCCACGCAAGCCCCAATTGTTGACATTTGTCGGGCAGCCACCTGGACATCTCCGTCCCCATTCATCAGGCATTACAAAATAGACGTATATGCCTCAGCGGAGGCCTCGTTTGGCCGACGAGTCCTACAGAGGGTCATCAGTGACCCGGAGGGGCTTCCGGCCCAGACGGAGTCCCACCCGTAGGACAGCCAAGCTTTGGTATGTCCCACTCTCTGGCTGCTCCGAGCGGCTCGAGGGAGAATGGGCATTGGTTCTTACCTGATACGCCCCTTCTCGGCGAGTCGCGAGGAGCATCCAGCCCCACCCTAGCTCCGTCTGGTGGGGACTCTTGTTTCAGCCAAGGAGCCAATAGTTGATTAGAAGGACTTAATAACCTTTCTTCTCGTTATCGCAAAAAACTGGGGGAACGCTGCGTGGAGTCACGTGAGGGGGCGGAGCGTTTCCTCAGCTAAAGCTCAGCCTGCAAGAAGAAGACTCAGAAGCACATCCCACTCTCTGGATGCTCCTCGTGGCTCGCCGAGAAGGGGCGTATCAGGTAAGAACCAACGCCCATTTTCTGAGAAGTCTCAGGTTAATAAGCTCTGCTGGGCCCTTTTGACCAGTGCTGCAATGTGAGCACCCCAGGTCAGGTCCTCTTTTATGGTAACACCCAGAAACTTAAAACTGGCCACTTGTTCCACTCGGTCTCCATTGATGAGCAAGGGCTGGATATTTGATCTGTTCCTTCCATAGTCCACTATAAGCTCCTTGGTCTTGTTGGTGTTGAGGACCAAGTTATTGTCTCCACACCACGAAAGCAACAGGTCCACCTCATCTCGATAGGCAGACTCTTCCCCCCCGGAGGTGAGTCCCACCACTGTTGTATCATCTGCAAATTTAGCAATAGTATTACTAGCATGAGTGGGAATGCAGTCATGCACATAAAGAGTATAGAGTAAGGGACTCAACACGCAACCCTGTGGTGTACCAGTGTTAAGAATAAGGGCTGAAGAGGTATGATTACCTAACCTGACCCTCTGAGCGGCCAGACAGGAAATCTATAATCCAAAGGCAGATTGAATAAGAAAAGCCAAGGTCCAGAAGTTTAGACACTAGTCTGGAAGAATTGTGTTAAATGCAGAACTAAAATTTAGTTTTAAGCAATTTGGCTTAAATTTTTTTAATTTTTAATCAGTTCTCTCCTAGGTTTAAAGAGAAATTTATTTTTGAACCTGAATGAATATTACATTGCAGTCACATTAAATTAGTGTTTATAGCAAGTATTTAGTGCGCTCTCTCAAAATAATTGGTCTTGATTGCTGATTGTTTTCTATAAACAGAGACTAAGGCATGATGTGGAAAGACGACCAAGCAGATCAAGCCATTCTTCAAAAGAAGAAGTCAATTCTGAGGAATATGGTTCAGATCGTGAAACAGGCAGTAGTGGTTCATCTGATGCAGGAAATACTGAAAATGAAGAAGAGGAGGAGGAAGAGGAAGGAATGGAGGAGGAGGAGGAGGAGGAAGAAGAAGAGGAGGAGGAAGAAGAGGAAGATGATGATGGAGAGGAAGAAGAGGAAGTAGAAGAAGATGGAGATGATGAGGAAGAAGAGTATGATCAAGATGAAAGAGATCAGAAGGAGGGAAATGATTATGATACACGAAGTGAAGCTAGTGACTCTGATTCTGAATCTGCATCTTTTACTGATGCATCAGTCAGAACAGGTTCAGGCTCAGATATATCAGGTAAGAAAGGCTGTTATCTCTTTATATCCTGTCAGCTCAATTCAATAATTTGAGCTAAAATACTAAGTTTGTTATGAATAGTAGGGACAGAAAAACATGGATAACACAATGGCAGACTTTAGTATTTTCCATCCAAGAACTGGATTTACAAGCCAGTCTGAAGAATGAAGCATAAAGCATAAGATTCTGCTGTGCAGTTACTTATTTTCTCCATAATTCTATATTTTAAAGAATTTCTATTAGCAAGGAAAATTCTTCAAATCAGAATGTAGTCCAAATTTTGAATACTATAACAGACAAAATGAGCTAAGATTGAAATCTATATTTTCCACCAGTATAACAGTTAGTAAAGGTTTCAGTGAAAATAAAGATTAACCAAATAGTTCCAAGATAACTTGGGAGTAAATGTGGTCCTAAATCGGGTTTGTGTAGTCTTGGAACATTTTCTCGAGGTCATCAGAACTACTACCAGTTTGGAGGATTTACTTCCAGAAGGCATTGGATTTGTAAATTTTGGGGGCGAAATTAATATGGTCCCAAGGAGAACGGAGCATTAAATATTTTCCTGAATATCTAATCCTGAATCAATTAGATTTGTTCAGTCTATTGGTCATATATGTAACAGTCAGTTAATGATCACTAATTCAGAGAATTGTGTTTGAAGTTACTACAGTGCTGAACAATGTATAACTGGTCCCCAAAGTTCTGGCTATTTCAGCTGCACTGGTAAACCTCCCCAATCCAGTAACAGCCAACACAGGTTGTGCTCATGTCATACTTTGCTGGCCATCCACGAACCCTGCCCCTCTCAGCAGCAGCCACATACTTATCCACCAGCCTTCTTGCAAGCCATCTGGAACTTGCAATTTCCTACCATTCCCCATTGATTTTGCATCTTGGAAGCTGGCAGGAAGGTACAAGAAGATCCTTGTTTAACGACCCATGGTCCTCACTTAATGATAGCAATGGGGATTACCAGGACTACCAATGCAGTCAAATGACTGCACTTTACCACTGCATTACTTTCAATGGAACTTAAACCTACATTTTCCAGCAGTAAACAGACTAGTAAAGGTCTCTGTGAGAATAAAAAGAAAGCAAATAGCAAAGATCTAGCTGTTTTAAAATCTGTAAAGCAAATAATTTTTTAAAATAGTTACAATCATTAAGTGACCATTACTAGATACTTTGTTCTGGACATGCATTTACCCCTTCCTATTTTATATAAACAATATAATTGGAATAATCACACATGATAAATGATTTGGTTGCATTCTGGGATTTAGTCTCAACTAGCTGAATGCAGTTTAATATATCAGTCATTAATTTTGCTTTGGAGAGAAAAGATCTAAATGTTTACAGTGGAAAGATTACATAGACATCTGCTATACTCTCTGTTGTTCTGAAATATTTGTTTTGTTAAATATTTCTGATGAAGAATCTGCAGCAATTATAAAGGACTTTCCTATATGATTCTGTTATTCAGATATTGCCAATGGTTCTTTTAGTCATGCAAATGAGGCAACTACAGTAAATTAGTATGTATGGATTGGGACCTAACTTAGGTTTGCAACTATATTTATAAATAAGAGTATGCATTACATTTATAACTGAAACACTGTATTGTTGATCTCCAAATGAAAGTTAATGGTCTCTTTTTTTAAACCTTGAGCAGCATCCCTCACATAGACACTCTAGACCTAGAGATTTCCCTGAGCTTCAAATATACAGTAGCTTTGACAGGCAGTGTTTCTGTTCAGACCAAGATGTCTAAACTTCTGATATTTTGGGAACTGTTGTCACAGTTGTCTGAATTCTGGCCCAATATAGTCAACTATATACTAAATATTTATATATTTGTATGTATGTATGTATGTATATATGTATATATATCTATGTATATATGTATTTGTTTTCTTATACGTATATATATAGTAATTTTTCATTTGAACCTTTAAAATACTGCTATTGCTTATTTTTATTATCTTAGATGAGAAAAAGAAGGCCAGGAAAAGAGCTAGAGGCATCTCTCCGATTGTTTTTGATAGAAGTGGAAGCTCTGCATCAGAATCATATGCAGGTATTTTGTAATTGCTTATCTTTATTGATATGATCTGTAGCAAACCCTTGAAATACATTGGTAAAAATAAACTGTAGGCCATAATAGGTGTGGGACATAGAGCTGAAATGATATAGTTAGTTTTTCTGGCATGTTCTGTGTGAATAATTTGATAAAGTGGGCTTTCTTATGTTAATTCTATTATGTTGCTTAAATGGAAATTTCACTTTTTTAAACTTGGAAGATGATGATTCATTGACTAGTTTTCTCTATAGAAAACTGGCCTGGCAAATGAAACCCAAAAATGGACAACTAAAACAAAAGAAAAAATCAAATTCAAATTCTCGTGCACATTGAGAAGCATTCTTTTTGTGTGTGGGGGTCCGCATAGGAGGAATCATTTATCATGAATGAAAATAGTATGTTAAAAGATTGTAGAATTTGTATCGTATCTCTATTAAGGCTCAATCTGAACAAATGTACTTTGGCTAAATACAGGTTCAGAAAAGAAGCATGAGAAATTATCATCTTCCGTTCGTGCTGTCCAAAAAGGTATAATTTAAATTTGAACTTCTTAATGCATGCATTTATTGCCAGCTATTGTATTGACTTTGTTGATTATACAGCAGATAAAATAATGTTCTGATGTACAGTAAAATGCATACTAGTGAATAATTCAAATTATTTGCATGAGGTTTTTAATGGAAAAAACAATATTTCATCACTGGATTAGCAGGCAAATAAGCAATCTAATTCTTTTACAAACAAGTTTTTTCTGGTTAAGACTATACATGTTGGCTATTACAAATAAAAATATCAGAACATTATTAATGCTGCATTGGCTTCTACCTTGAATAGCTTATTTTGCTTTTAAAGTTTAGCACTGCATGGTATGAACATCTGCATTTGGTGGGATTGAGTCATTCATTCATTTGAAGCGCACAGATTGTCTGATTGAATTTTAGAGCTTCCTTTTATTAAGAAGGAATTCATGGGATTACATTGCACATGGCCTAATAGAGGCCATTCTTGCCATTGCAACTGCTAGACTTTGTACTCCAGATCCTATAAATATAATTTAGGGAGTCCTCGAGTTACGATCACAATTGAGCCAAAAAATTTCATTGCTAAGCAAGACAGTTGAGTTTTTGCCCCTTTTTCTATCTTTTTTGTCACAATTATTAAAGGAATCACTGCAGTTGGTAGGTTAGTTAAGAGCTGTTAAGGTAGTAACAGAGTTTTTAATTAAATCTGGCTTTCCCTTTGCTTGTCAGAAAGTCATGAAAGATGATCACATAATCCCAGGATATTGCAAATGTTATAACACAAGCCAGTGGGCAAGCATCCAAATTTTCATCAGGTGTCACGGGGATGCTACAATGGTCATAGGTGTGAAAAATGATAAGTCACACTTGTCAGTAATATTGTAATTTTAAACAGTCACTTAACAAATGGTTGTAAGTTGTGAACTATCTGTATTTAAGTTTTCTTGGCAAGTAAAGTTTATCTAACACAGTTACCTCTTTTTGTTTTTTCCTTCCAGACCAAACTAGCAAACTTAAGTATATTCTCCAAGATGCACGATTTTTTCTTATAAAAAGTAACAACCATGAAAATGTCTCTCTTGCCAAAGCTAAGGTATGTTGAATTTCTGTGAAGTCAATTACATATGCAAAGTATAGAATCAGATAAATTGCTTTTCTTTTGAATTATTTAATTTTATTTTTGATTAAATATAAATATAATTACTAAAACAAATGCAAAATAAAATATATGTATTTTTTTGTAGATAATTTAATTATTTCTTCATTGCCTCATCTAAAATGGGAGTAATATTTTTCCCACAGCCACATGCTTCAGATTACTTCATTCAACCACCAGAAGTCATGGGAACTTGGTGGTAATGTTACCAGAATGAGTAATAACGAAAGTTTTGTTCCTGTTCTCCCTCCCCCCAAATATTTTGTAGATTTTGTGTAAAATTGATGCTTTAGCCTTCCGAGAGCCATGATACACATATTCAAGAGCTTAAATTTTACAAATGTACTGCTGAAAAAATCACAATTTTGATTTTTCAAATCCTAAAAATATGTATGTTTTCTTGAAGAAAGCAAAAAAGATCTGTAGAAGTTACAGGCAAACTATTAGAAATAATGAACTAGTATCTTGTCTGTTGTACTTTTTGTCTTTATTTTTGTACTGTGTAGAACAGGGGTGGGCAAACTACGGCCCACGGGCCACATCCGGCCCGTTGGTCTTTTTAATCCGGCCCACCGAAGATTGGTCCGTATGTAACCGCGGCCACTTTTCGGCTGCTTTCAGACGCATCGAGAGGAGGCGGTTGAGGCGGAGGGCGGGCGGCAGAGAGCGAGCAGGGCGCCTGGTGGGCTTGTCAGGCGGAGCAGGAAACGGCAGGAGCCCGGCGGAGCAAAGAGAGCTGAAACCTGTTGAGGTCTCGCCGCAGTCCCTTCGCGGGGAGAGTAGCCACTGAGCTGGGAGGAGCGCGGGATGCTGCCGGCTCGCCTCCCCGCCCCTCCGTCGTGACTGCGGGAGAAGGATCCCCGAGCGCTGCCCTTGCGGCCAGCACCGATGGAGCCCCGCTTGATTTTGCCTGAGCCGTGTTTGATTTGGAAGGGGGCGCGGGAGGCAGCGCCAAAGGAGCGCTCTGGGGTTCGGCCAACCGCCCGCTGAGCAGCTCCGGGCTCCCCACCGCGGCCGGCAGACCTTGGGGCTGCGCTCCGGAACCCAGCGCCACGGGACGGCGAAGCCGAGCGGCGGGAAGAGGCGTGTCGAAGCTGCAGCGGCCGGCTCAGATCTTTGGATTCCCCGGGACCAAGAGATCTGAGCCGGCTGTTGCAGCTTCGACAGGCCTCTTCCCGACGCTCGGCTCAGGCGGAGCCCCGAGCACCACCAGCGGCGAAGAGCACGAGAAGCACAACGGGGTCACGGGAAGAGCTGCGCCCCAAGGAGCGACTGGCGGCCGGAGCGGCCAGGACTGGCAGTGGCGGTGAGGGCCCGACCTGCACGGGGGGGGGGGGGGGGGGGGGGGGGCTCCCGCCGGGGGGGGGGGGGGGGGGCTGGGGCGGTTTTCTCCCGTGCCTGGCTTCGGAGCGGCCCGCCGTGCGCTTTTGGGCATCTGGCTCGCTGTGCCCTGGGCGCGCCTTTCCCTCGCCTCTCAGCCAGCAGCAACAGCAGCAGCTCCGCCGCCGCCGCCTCCTTCCTCCCCTAACGCCCACTGTTGTGATGCGTATTCCCGTAGACCTGAGCACCAGCAGGCGCTTCACACCTCCCTCCACGGCCATCCCCTGCGGTAAGATGGGAGAGAACAGCGGCGCCCTCAGCGCGCCGGTGCCGGGACCACGCAGCCGGACTGAGGCGTGCTCGGTGGTGGACATCCTGGCTGGGCGGAGCGGGCAGGTCCTGGGAGAGGCGCGCAGATGTTTTCTGCCGAGCGGGCTTCCCAAGTGCCTGGGAGGACTCGCGGTTTAACGGCAAAAGCGGCGGCGGGCGCTGGGCGGGCGGGGGGAAAGGCAGGCGAAAGTCCCCCACACACACACACCTCGGCAAGCGCTTTGCAGGGTTAGCCAGCAGTTTCTCGCAAGAGACTGAAGGCCGGTCTGCTCCCCCCAATTAGACGTTGGCTCAAGAGGGAGAGTCAGCCCTGCTACTAATTGGTGGTTCACAGTTTATCCGTGGGCACCGGAGGAGTTATGTTTTGGGGGTGGGCGTTTATTTATTTTTTATCTTATAAGTGGCCAACTTGTGTAAACTGAGGGAGTACATTCATACACACACACACACACAGTCGTTTATTCGTAGCGGAAGACTCTATCTATAATGGCCTTTTATAAAATTGGTTTGGCCCTCGAACGCAGATCTGATTTTCCATGTGGCCCCCGACAGAAATTAATTGCCCACCCCTGGTGTAGAACAACTGCCCCCAACCTTTTTGGCACTGGTTTCATGAAAAACAATTTTTCCATGGATTGGTGGGGGGAGGGGAATTGTTTCAGTTTCACTTGCCTGCCCACCAGTCACCTCCAGTTCTTAACAATACATAGACTTGCATTGTTCCATGGTCCAGGAATTGGGAACCCCTGGTATAGAAGGAAAGAAGAATGTAACAGGCTGGTTTAAAATGACTTTAAATTTAGTGAATGTTATCTGTAGATTACTGAGAACGTGAGTATTTCTGATTTTTTTTCCAAATTTTGTTTTGCATGTATTAATATATAAAGCTTTCCTAGATGGACTATATACGCTTGTTTGTTCTTTTGGTTAATAGCTTTTCTTTTAATGACTCAGACAGATATCTGTCTTGGATCTGTTATCTGGATTTGGAAATTGCAGGCATAGAAACTGAGGCCTTCTTCATAGAAAACATATGCTGTTGTTGACTATATTCCAAAATCTTATTGAACTTGAACACATCAGATAGTTTTTGGTTTATAAATTATTTGCTCATTTCTCCATAGGGTGTTTGGTCAACCCTTCCAGTCAATGAGAAAAAGCTCAATGCTGCCTTCAGATCAGCAAGAAGTGTGATCTTGATATTTTCTGTAAGAGAGAGTGGAAAATTCCAAGGTAAGTGCAGGGAGTCCTCGACTTACAACCAGAATTGAGCCCCAGATTTCTGTTGTTAAGCAAGACAGTTGTTAAAGTAGCTTTGCCCCATTTTATGACTTTTCTTGCCACTGTTGCTAAGTGAATCACTACAGTTGTTAAATTAGTCAGTCGTTAAATGAATCTCTCTTCCCTGTTGACTTTGCTTGTCAGAAGGTCATAAAAGGTGATCTCATGACCCCACGACACGGCAATCATCATAAATATGAGCCATTGCGAATTTTGATCATGTGGCCATAGAATGCTCCAACTGTCGTAAGTGTGAAAAATGGTGATAAGTCACTTTTTTCAACGCTGTTGTAACTTCCAACAGTCACGAAATGAATGGTTGTAAGTCAAGGGCTACCTGTAAAAGGAATACTTGCATTCATAAATCAAAAATTATTTGGATAAGTAGCCTCATCACACTTTTTAAATTCTTACAGGATTTGCAAGGCTTGCTTCTGAATCTCACCATGGAGGGTCTCCCATACATTGGGTGCTACCTGCAGGAATGAATGCAAAAATGCTGGGAGGAGTATTTAAGATAGATTGGATATGCAGGTAAAATAGGTGGAAATTAGAAAATAAAAGTGTGGTTGGATAGGCTATTTGTTATAGAACAAATATATAATACTTATGTGGCAAGTTATATCTGCATGCCAGAACCTCATTAGACTTGTCTTAAACAAAACAAACAAACAAAAAACCAGTAATGTCAGTTCTAGTTAGTACTTTGATGAGAGACCACCAGGATATATCTTAGAGCTATTGTAGACCTGGATCTTTTATGGCCCGCAGGCCACATCCAGCCCATGGGCTGTCCCTGTCCAGCCCATGGCATTGACTTGGAAAAATTAATTGCTTACCTCTGTGCTATAGGATCAAATGGGAAGTTGAGAAACGTCTTAGGAAACAATGGTGTGAAAAATATCTGTATTGATATCAATATGATATAGGAAAACAATGATAATGTAGGTGCCAAGAGTTGAGTCTATCTCAAGAGAAACTTGACTTTGAGTATAATATTAAAAGATAAAATTATTTCAATCACCTGGAGGTCCATATTTTGATGCATCAAATTCAGGGATTCCAATATCCTATTTTTCTTCCATATAATTCTTCTGCTGTGGTTTTTGTTTTAAGATATTTACAGATTCTAAATTACTGCTTATTCTTACAGTCTTATGTGTCTTCTATTGATGATGGGTGGCTTCCTTTCCTTGGATTTTGAAATCGCATTAAGTGTAAAATGGAAAGAGAAGCCAATAGTTGCTTTTCCTTCTTCCAATGGGAAGTTGTGCTAGAAATGGGACTCTGAGATTTTAAGAAACATTATTTAAACATTAAATATTGTGTGTTTTATCCCTTTCAGTTTAGTAAGGATTAGAATGCCTTCCATTTTGTTCCAAAGCCTGGAATCACTTCAGTTTTTTTTACTAGAAATATAAATGAAAATAGTGCAACCTAATTGAACCAGATTTCAAAAATTGTGTAGAGGATTTTATTAGTAATGATAAATAAGTTTGCCAAAAGTAAGCTTGGAATTTGATTCTAAAAAATAATTTCCTCATAGACTTTCTCCAAACCAAGTAGAATGTTTAGTTCTCTGAAAATCAAACCTGAACCTATTTCAGAATATTAACCTTTCTGATTGATTGTTATGGAAAAAGTTCATTAATGGTCAACAATCAACAGCTTTATGGCACATAATCATGATTGATTATGAATGATTAGATTGACAGAAGAACAATACTGATCATTTCCTGGCTTCTCCCATAGCATCCAATTTATTCTATTCTAGACTTTTCCCCTTCTTTTCCTGCCTTGTTTAACTTTGTGGGTGGCAGATATGAGGAGCACTGGATCAAAAAGTCTATTGTTATGTAATTCATATAGGGAAAATTACATTTTTATCACTCTGCTTCCTTTGTTGCCAAAGCAAGGATATGGATGAAGGGATTTGTGAAAATTGGATAGGAAGGAAAAATAAAGGAAAGCTTAAATTACCTGCCTTAAGAATTTTTTAATCAGAACTGAAGACAAATTTTGGAGATTGTAATATTTGCTTTGTTGAGGTGAACATTATGATCCCATGGGATAGCCTCTAAACTTTGCTTCATTCATTAGATCCATTGCTAGTGGGATTCTCGTATTTTTAATTTATACTTCATTATATGAGAAAGTGTGTCATCATATTTTTAGGCGTGAATTGCCATTCACAAAATCTGCTCACCTGACGAATCCTTGGAATGAACATAAGCCTGTAAAGATTGGACGTGATGGACAGGTTTGTCAACTGCCTTTGACTGCTCTTCAAAACATTAATCCCAGTATTTTAAAATATTCTTAATAGATTTTTTTTACTAAGTACTGCACTCAAAGCATGACCACACCAATTAGTGATAGAAATCCCTGCAGTTCCAATTGCCATTGTTAAATGAATCCTATAGTTGTTAGATGAGGCAACTTCCCACCTACTTCTTTCAACCAAAGTCACTGGAGAAGCTGGCAGGAAGTTGCAAGTTTCAGGCTTGCAAACAGATAAGTGGCAGCAATTAGGTGAAGGAAAGGGCAATGGGGTACTGGTGAAGGCTGGAGTGTGTGTGTGCAAGGTGCAGGTGGGGAGCATGTACAAGAGTATGTGAGAAACACTATGCAGGTTGGAGGATGTGCAAAAGGTTCCATACGGGTTAAGGAGGAAGTGTGGGTCAAGGAGAGTGTCTTGAATTGTGTGAGAGGCGGGCACAGTGTTAGGACAGAGGAGCTAAATGAGGAGACTTACTGAACAACTTGTGATCTTCTCTGCCTTTCCCATTCATTTTCTGGAGAAGTTGGACAGGAAGACTGCAAATGTGAGTCACATGATTGCAGGTACTTGGCAACTAGAAATGTAAATGGGTTGCTAAGCACTCAGATTGTGATCACATATCTTCAAGTTCTGGGATAGCCAAAACTCCAAGGATTGCTGTAACCATCATTTTTCAGCATTGTCATGGCTTAAAATAATTACTGACTGGTCATAGGTCAGGGACTACCTGTAATTATACACCTGCCTTGATCCATGTCTTTTGTTAATTTCACTAAAATCACTACAACATATGCAACTTAATGAACCTGTTAAGCTTTCACGTGTTCCTTAAATAAGGCATTAGCATTCATACAAAGCACTCAATTAGTCTTAGAACGAAACCTTATAATTAAAAATTGAGTCCTTTGTGTGGGCTCTGATATGAATTTATAACATCAGTATTTAATTGTTACAGGAAATTGAGCTTGAATGTGGAACCCAACTTTGTCTCCTATTCCCTCCTGATGAAAGTATTGACTTGTATCAAGTCATTCATAAAATGCGTCATAAGAGAAGAATGCACTCTCAACCCCGGTCAAGAGGACGTCCATCCCGTCGAGAGCCACTCCGAGATGTGGGAAGGTTAGAAACATTCTTTGGACTGATAATAGGCACATGTGTCAGAATAACGTGATGGAGGAATATGATTCATCAAAAAGCTTTCCCTGCAATCAAGAAGAGAGAAAATCCTCACATCAAGCTGCATGGACGGGTTTGTGGCTTCATTGAGGATTTCACATTGTCCCTCTCCCCCAGTTTGTCACTTTCAAGAGGAAAATGGGGACATTTTGCTTACACAGAAAAGTTTGTGTCAATCTAGTTTTTTAGTCAATTGTAGGTAAGCCAATTTTTTTCAAGACCAGGTTAGGTGGAGGAAAATCAAGTTTGTGTGTTCCAAAATGTGTTAATATCTTGTAAAAGCCTTTTCTTTCAGGTGTATCTCTGGATAAGCCTTGTCAAATATGGGACTTTTATCAGGATCACTTATAATTTTGCAGAAGATGGTCGCCTCATTTTGAGGATAAAATATTTATAATATTTTGCTGTTCAAGAAGAGCGTGTTTGGGACTGTTTCAAATTGTATCACCGTGCTGTGGTTATGCCCATTGCCAAATATTCTCTTACATCTTGCTGTGTTTCTGGAAGCCGTAGGTTCTCTCCAAAGGAAGTAGCCCTTGGAGACCCGGCAACAAACCAAAAAGAATGGCTGTTGCTGTGTCAGTGTATACAACCTTTCCAGATGCTGGCAGCACCCGTGGACTTAAAAGTTGTTTTAGAGGATCGCCATGGTTATTGATCACTACTCTATGAACTTACCAACCTTCCCCAGAAAGAAGGGTATATCTTGTTACAGAATTGGAGGAGTCTTTGCAAAGGACTGATAATAATTCCTCCTATCCAACACGTTTCCCTGATCCCTGTGTAGCCACTTTGTTTTCTGATAAATCTAAAGCATTTCTGCTAAAGACTGTGTGGTTTGGGCTGAAACCTTTTTGGTTAGACTTTCCAGTTTGTGGAAATGTCCTGTGGTAGGTAAAGATATCCAACGAGTCCCCATATCCTTGCTCTTAAAGGACATTGTAACCTGTAGGTAGGAGGAATCCTGGCAGCAACCCCCTTTTCTTTGGGCATAAATGGACTGAGCACCAAGATGGCTTTTGAAGTTAAGCCCTAAAAGATTTCCAGTGCAATAAAGTATTTACAAGTGAAGGTTTTGCAATGGACTGCAAACTATACATTATAACACCATCACACCTTCTCAAGCCTGCCAGGGCCTCCATTTATATATGTGGCTTTCAGCTTAAAGTCAGTAGTTGGACTACTATATGAACTGTTACTATCATATATTATACCGGTCGTAAGTGCACACTCAAACTACAAGAAAGCGGTATGTTTATTTTTTACACCAGCTATTTTCTAAACTCTTTTTTGCTGTACATACAGTTGCTTTATTTTCTCAGAATGTGATGCTTATTCTTAAGAATGATAATTTAAATAATGTGGGGAGGCGGGAGGAATCATTTTATGGTCTATTCATATTTCCTTGTTATAGAAATTGTGAAGGTGCATTGGAAGGGAACACAGGTAACTTGCTAATGAGTGAAAAGCAAACTAGAGCAAGAACTCTTAAAAGATCATTTAAAAAAAAATTAAATTCATTTTATTAAAATGTATAGAAGCCTAAAATAATGGGCACTTGATTCCAAGATTATGATTTTGTTAAAATATACATTCCTTAAATGTTTTTTTCCTGTACAGTAACAAGTAATTGTGTCTATGCAGGATGGGATTTGCATGTTGGAAATTGATCAAGTTTTTTACAGACCAAGTAAGACAGTTAATCAGATCAAGTGTATAAAATGGTATTCACAAATTTTGTAGCTTATGCTTTCAGGGTAAGTTTCAATATAGAAATTGTGTAAGCATCAAGCAGATTTCATGCTGCAATTTTTATGGACAAAAGAGAACAAAGACCACAAAAACTCAGAGGGACTTGTAAAGAAATTCATATTATGACTACATTTACACTAGGTATGGTTGGATGAAGTTCCCTGTTAAGAATCTAAAATCATAATAGTCTAATTAACAACATACATTTTGTTGCTACCACAAATACAAATTCTTTGTAACAAATTCTGGGAAATTCATATAGGGAATTACAGAAAACACATACAAAAAAGCTCCAAAAAGTTGTGGGCTGTTCTGGTTAGTCCTTCTAAAGATGTTGTGTTTACATAAGTTGTTCCAAACAGTTCTTAATTATTGTCTAATTTATGTAGGCGTCGACCAGAGGATTATGATATTCATAACACCAGAAAGAAACCAAGGATTGATTATCCCTCTGAGTTTCACCAAAGACCAGGTTAATATCTTACTGTTTAAATGTATATGCACAAATTTACAGATTTGTGTATTACAGTAGTCATGTGGGAATGTGAATATTAAATAAATTATTTAAATTTAAGGTCATAAAGACTCTGATTATGATAACAAATATGAGAATATAACAATACATATAAGTGAGGGGACTTTCTTGGAATAACTATCACTAATAAAATTCTAAAATAGTTATGCAATAACTTGTCCTCTTTGGAACAAATAGAGAGACATAGCAGTAATATGGAAGCATTCAAAAGAATGTACCGTCAATCTGTAAGTGAAACCAAAAGTTATACAATACAATCAGTTTACATCAACTGACTTGTATTCTGAGTAGTTCAAGCATTCACTTAATTTCACACAATGTCTTGGTGTGTAGTGGGGAGGGAACATAGGAACAGTGGCCTTTCATGTAGTATATGGCTGAATAGATTCCAGCAGTCCCAGGTAGCCTGCCTAAAGATACAAGATGGTATTAGTTGAGATTTATATTTTTACCACCTTTGCAATAAAGTGTTATGTAGTTATTTTAAAATTGAAATTCATGGCCAGTTGGGAAGAGAAGGAGCATTCCTATGAGTAGCAAGGCAGTAGCATGCTTAAAGATGGTAATGGCTATTTATGTTGCCAAATATAATAAATATGATACGTAATGCTGCTTGATTTTAAACAGGGTATTTAAAAGACCCCAGATACCAAGATATGGACAGGTAAGAGATGTTTAACAATGCCATTTTCTAATATAAGATATCTGAATATTTGTCTCTAATTTAATAAATCTTATCCTCAACAGACGATTTTCAGGAGTTCGGAGAGATGTCTTCTTAAATGGGGTAAGTTTATGATCTTTCATAGTTAGCAGTCATAGATGATTTTAATGTTACTTGATTTTGACATTCTTGTATATGTGTTTTTTGTAGTCTTACAATGATTATGTGAGAGAATTTCATAACATGGGACCACCACCGCCTTGGCAAGGAATGGTTTGTAATTTTGTATTCTTTGACTTTAGTACACCCATCGTATTATAAGAGAATATTGCTAAACACACTAGTCCTCTCATTTATGTAGAACACAGTATTTTGTTACGGTTTTAAGACTGAATTGAAGATTTTCTTAGATCTTTATGGTGTAACTTCCTAATTTTAATTATTAATTTTAGTCAAAGGAGTTTACATAAATGAGAAGACTAGTGTCTGATCAAGAAGTAGTACCTGTGAAAATGCATTCTTGGCATAGCAGTTTTCATCAATTAAAGCAGAAGGATCCAAATAGTAATTCTAAGTTTCACATAATGTTCTTAATGCCATAGTTTATTTGAAAATTATACATGATCTTAGTGGGAAAGAACTACATCAGGGTTACAGAATATCTGTTACATCAAGGATTATAACAGAGCACTTGATGATAAAACTTCAGGCATTAAAACAAGTGTTTTAAGCATCATCATAAGTTATTGTAGAAGTTAACATACACACACAGACATAGACACCCCAGAGCAAAAGAAACAGCCCTCTGTTTTGTCCCTTGGGCTTTGGAAAGAGAGGCTGTGTTTTTGTACCCTTGAACTAAGCAGTAAACAATGATTGAGAAGTAATTGGAAATTAAAGCTCTTGATACTGAACTGATTTGTTGTTGCTGCCAAACTACAGACAAAGCAATCCCCCTGAAAATCTAGAGTCACACATTCAACCTGTAAAACATTTCAGAAAAGATTCTGCATATAATATAGAGATGAAAAGAAAAACTGAACTAAAGCAGCTTACACTGTCAAAGTGATTAGCAAATAAATGAGATTAGCATGATTAGCAAATGAGATTAGCATGATTAGCAAATAAATGAGAAAAAGCAATACAGGTAATCCTTGACTTATGACTACAAGGGACTGGAAATTTGGTCATGTAATTTTGGTCATAAGTTGAGGTGCTCATATGAACAGAAGTGATTGTACAATCTACCAGCATTCATTAGGCAAATCCACAGTTGTAACTGTTAATCCACTAGATTTTTTTGTTGGAAGCCAACAAAAGTTACATGACCATGGAACACCATGAGTGTTCATAGATATGACAGTTTGACAAGTACCCAACATGTGATCATGTGACCAGATTGCAGCACAAGATTTTTATTTTGGCCAGGGATGCTTTATGGACCTTAAAGCTCCCATTCCATCATAAATGCAGATGGTTATTAAGCAACCCAGCCATAAGGATCAGCTATAATGAAACCCATAATTAAAACACAGGTCTAAATTCTCTCCAAAGAAATGCTATGATAGAAATAGTAACATTTCAGATGAATTTGAGGAAAAAGAAAAATGACCTCAATTAGTCAATAAGAGGCTATAGAAGCAGTAGTATGTGAAAATGACCTTGAGAGATGCAGCTGGGAAACAGTTGGATGACAGGCAACTTAGCAGGAATGTGGGTGTGGGAAACGTCTCAGAAGGGAGCTTCCCTTCGTTTCTTGATCTGTAAAGGCACCAGGGGAGAAATATACTTTCAGATTCTTAAAATTATGTTAAATCTATAATAAAATAGGATTAGTTCATCTGGATACGTTTACTGTCTGGGTTATGTCAGAAGGCTGACATAAATTATGTTATTCCAGAACATTTGTAGAATATTCAATTTCTTCTCCAGATGTTCTGGAGTGATCCAGCTGTTTTCTTGGGGAAGCTAATTCTCCAAAATTGAAAATGACCTAGTGTCCTACACAGATTTTGGTTTTTACAAAGATTTTTTAAAAAAAGATTACCATACAATGGTACCACAAACCCTTTTTAGCTTTGTTAAAGAAGTGGAATATTCCAGGACATTCAGTTTTAACACAATTGCTCGTATAGTTTCAGTAATTTTGGTTTTGTGATACATTTTTTAAAAAAAACTTTTTAAAAACTTCCTGTTAAGACCAGCTGAGAATTCGTGTCAATCACCTCCATTTATTACTGCAGTATGTTTTTTTAAGTGGGTCTCATGACAGCAATATAACTAGAACAGTTGATTTGCCATAAAGGTTTTCAAGGGTATTTTATGCTTTGCTAATGATTAATTAGCATTTATATCTCAAACAAGTAGCAATGTAGTCATTTCTAGAACAGCTACTGAAGCTAATTTAGGGGGAATGATGCATGTGCCTCCTTGAGCTTTTCATAGTATTGAGATTTTGATACGAAGTGGTATGAAAATCTAGTCTTCACCTTTAGGTACACTATGCTAAAGATACAATTTTCCAAAATACCTGCCAGATAGATTTCTGTTATGTTTCACATCTGTTATCCACCCTCTTTTGATGCATTTTAAATTTTTTTGTCTAAATACATGCACACTCACACACTTTTTTTATTCATAATTTTTTTATTCCTAGCCCTTGCAGGCATTAAGTGCAAATTTTTCAGGTTCTCAATGTTACAGAGTTTTATATAGCAACATATACAACTGCTCTACCCACTGATCTTTTTTCTCCATCTTCCCAGTTCCTTTCTTTCCCTATCTCCTCTTGCATATCACCAACATATATTTCTCATTCTCCATAAATATATTTATTTATATTTATTTGTTTACTCAAAATGCATGTTTTATTTGATAATTGAAGCATTAGGGCTGGAAGGGACTTCGGATTGGATTTTCTAGGCCAATCCCCTGCCCAAGGCAAGAATCCTTATGCCATCCGAGACAACTGACTGTCCAATCTTTTCTTAAAAGCTATTCCATTAGTTAATTGCTGTCACTGTCAAGAAATCTCTCCTTAATAGGTAGGATTTTAACAAGTTTCTACCCATTGCTTCTTATCCTGCCCTCTGATACTTTAGAAAATAAATCAACTCCCTCATCTAAGATCTATTGAACTGCATCTTGTTGGATAGCCCATTTCTCTTAATTTGTCAATATCCTTCTGAATCTCTATTTTCCAGTGTTAGCAATTCCCCCCTGCTTGGTATCATCTGCAGATTTGATGAGGTCTTTCTATTCCCTTGTTTAGATTGTTTATGAAGTTGTTGAAGAGTACAAGACAGAACTTGAACCTTGACAGAATCACACTACATGTTTCTTTCTATGTAGTTGTAGCTCCATTGAGAGCTACATTCTGAGTGTGATTGGTCAGCCAACTGTGAATCTGGTGGTGGTACTGTCTATCCTACATTGAGGATAGACTGTGATCTACTTTGTCAAATGTCTTACTGAAGTCCAAATATAGTACCCATGTTTCCCCAAAAATAAGACTGGGTCTTAATAATTTTTGTTCCAAAAGACACATCAGGGCTTATTTTCTGGTTAAGTCTTATTTTCAGCGAAATACAAAGTACTAAATGCGTCCATCTGGCTGACAATCTTAACTGGGACTTATTTTGGTAGTAGGGCTTAAATTACGAGCATCCTGAAAAATGCTAGGGTTTATTTTCCAGTTGGGTCTTATTTTCGGGGAAACTGATTATATCAATAGCCTTTTCCTGATCCACTAATTTAATCACTTTATCAAAGAAGGCAGTAAGGTTTGTTTGGCGCCATCTGTTTTTATAAAACCCAAGCTAGCATTTATTAATTGTCTTGTTCATTTCTAGGAGCTTCCAGATCCACTGCTTGATTACCTTTTCTAAGTTTTTCCTGGTATTGATGTCAAGCTGATTGGTTTGTAATTTTCAGGTTCTACTTTTTTCCCTTTTTTGAGAATTGGAACCACATCAACTGAAGAATCTTTTTGGATGAGAAATGAAACGTTTTCAAGGAAAAATTCTAAGACAGACCATTTGCCTTTTGAAAAACTTTTTCGGGGCAACCGGGACCTAGATGATTGAGAATCTCCATTGGCAATCTCAATGGGTTTTTCCAATCCTCTTTACCAGTTCTCTCTCTATTCCAGAAGCTCAGTGTTATTTTGTTCAGTGGTTCTGAGACCAACCTGCTGGTTTCTTCAGAATCCTGGGATGTAATACTTCTGGTCCTGCAATTTGAACTCATCTAAAGTGGAAAGGTGTTTTCTTTACTATTTTGTCCCCTCATGTTCTATCTCCCACCATGCTATTTTTGATAGAGTATTTTTTCCTTTTGTGTGTGGACAAATGCACAGGAGGAATTAAACAGTTCCATTTTTTCTTGATGTCCGTCACTATCTTGCCATCTTTTCTTTTAATAGACCTATATTTTCCTTGACTTTTACATATTGGAAAAAGTTTTAAAAAATTATTTTTGGCATTTGTTGCAAATCTTAGTTCATTCTGACCCTTAATTTTCTGATTCTATCCTTGCAGGTTCAGGCTATTGGTTGGTATTTTGTTTTAGTTATGTGTGTCTTGTCCATTCCAAGTCTTAGTTCATTCTGATCATTAGCTTTCCTGCCTCCACATGCTTGCAGATCCAGAGGACCATTTTGGGCACTATCCAGTTGGAGCACTGTTGACCTGTAATACTTTATATATGGAATATTTTGAAATAGCTTAATTTTTACTTTTTTTATTAACCTTAGACACAAAAAGTCTATTTTGCAAATATACTTTTGCACAGCTTCCCTAAGCAAATTCATAGGGAACCTAGCAGATCCAGTCTCAAAATGGTCAACCAGTATTTATTTATTCTGCAAAGAAATTAATTCCTCACAGTTTCTATCCTTTAAAAAAATTGAATTCCGGCAAACCTATTAATGTACAATATAATTTTGAACACAAAGGATTCTCTAGAAACAAATTATGGATAGCATCAAACTAAAGAACATTAATATTTATTTCTCAGTATAATGAGAGATGGTGGTGGTGGTGTGGATTTTCTAAACAAGATCCAAGTAGAGGAATATGCTTTGAATTATCCCAAAACAAAACTTGTTTTAAATGACCGAATTGGTCATTTTTGAGCGGTCAACTTCTCCCTTTTAAAGCAGTGAGATACATATCAAATAACCGTCCCAAAATTTGAAGGGTATTAACACCTTGGCATGTAGCAATGCACTTCTTACAGCAATTTTGGAGGGCTGATATAAAAAAGTACATTCAAACTGAGCTTGTGCCCCAGTAGAAAAGGAAACCATAACTCCTGGCCTGCTATTCTGCATCTTCTGCAAGGACTCACAGCCTCAATTTATAACACCTTATTTAATAAAACACTTGAGAAATACTGATCTCTACTGTTATCAGATCAGCACAAAATATTTTCCCTAAATGTGGCCAAATTTTGTTAAACTATATGCAACATTAGGCAAATTTTAGCTCCCCACTGTAATGTATTATTTTGTCTGGTTTTTTATCATTGTTTTTCTTAATGCTTTTATTTGTAATGCTGGTCTGTGATTGTAATAAAAATTGATTGATTAGAATGTCCAGATTGGTCCAAAATCAAATTTTAGTTGATACATAGTTCTCATGTAGTAATTATCATTAGTTATTTCAGTTGAAACTTTTATTGAACAATTGATCTTTCTTATTTATTGAATCTTATTCTATCTTGTTACAAAAAAAATCTTTTAATATATCTTTTATTAGCAATAGCTGTAAGAAATTGCTCTAAATAACTTCAGTTTTCCTGAGGTCAGTTGTGAAAATGTACTTGTTGCAGAAATGTTTAATTGCATGAGAATTCAAATACCATCCTAGATATATATTGTGATACTGCTCATATGTTGAATTATATTTTCCTGTTGATGCTGCTCTGTTCTGGGGTAGCAGATTACTGGAATAATAAGGATTTTTTTTTTAGCCTCCTTACCCAGGTATAGAACAGCCTCCCCATCACCCATACTATCAGCACCACGCTCCTCCTCCACAGGCTCACCCTCCTTACTCAGGACACCATCCCATGCCACATGATGCACGGTACAGGGATAAGCGAGTGGTAAGTGTAGCTTGGATCACTGTTAGAAAATGCACACATCAGATTTTGTTGAAAATCACTATATTCATTATAAAATATCTAAGGCTAAATATCTAGCACTAGATAGTTACAGGAGAACCAGTTTGATGTAGTGGCTAAGGCATCAGGCAAGAAAGCAGGAGATCATGAATTCCCACTTTAGATAGAAAGCCAGGTGGGTGAATAGTCACTTGGAATAGTCACTCTCAGCTCAAGTTAGAAGTCAGTGGCAAATCACTTCCAAAAACTTTGCAAAAATACTGCAGGGACTTGTCTAGGTAATCTCCTATAATCAGACACAATTGAAAAGAAAGGGGAGAAAGATATTTACATATTTGTAAAACTGTGGTAAGATTTTCAAGCAGCATATTTCAAAAATTTAAGTTAAAAAAAAAGATCAGCATGTGGAATCTGTAGAATGTAAAAAGGATGGCCCTGAGCGAGAGAGGGGACAGTTACCAAAGAATCAAGAATAAACATACATTAAGTCTAGGACATGTAGAAACTTTGGAAACAACTCTTGACAGACATCTTCCTAAATCACATGTTTATAAGAGAGGAGAGGTAACACAATTCAGACTTGCAAGATTGTTATTACCTAAATCAAAGTAGTCTTTAATATATACTAACATTTATTAAATACATGAACATTACAACAGTGAACTATCACTGGATAATTGATAGTCCTTTAGATCCAAGTGATTTTTAGTAATTCAAAGTTGTCAGAAGTTGAGATTTTAAACAGTGATATTTAAACTTATTATGTCTTCCATAGCATGACTATGACATGAGGGTAGATGACTTTCTACGTCGGACACAAGCAGTTGTCAGTGGCCGAAGAAGCAGGCCGAGAGAGAGAGAACGGGATCGGGAACGAGATCGGCCTCGAGATAACCGAAGAGACAGGGATCGGGAACGAGGGAGGGAGAGGGAAAGAATATGTGATCGCGATAGAGACAGAGGTGAAAGAGGAAGATACAGAAGATAATGTATTGTGAAACTACAATTACTTAAGGAAGCAAAGGCTTGTATATTTGCGTGTTTACAAGTAGTAAACTTATTTTCTTAAGTCATCATACTTGATTGTGTAGATGAATTTATAATTGCCCCTGTTCCAAGCATGCTGTAAGCTGTGAACCGAAATACATATTTTGGCCAAAAACATGCAAAGCTTGATTCTTCAGTTGATATCTTAATTTAAGCAGTTTAGAAGACAACATTTAAAGAATGTAGATGAATTTTCCCAACATGTTTATCTTAACAATAATTTAATTATATGTTCCTTTGAATACGAGTTATTAGCTGCCATGATTTTTGCTGTTTTTTTTTTTGACATGTAGCTTTTAATATTTTTTAGGGGGGTAGCATGGAATGCTACTATCAACACAAAAATACTGGGTGTGTGATGGTTGTATGGCAGTATTGAAGCAGTCGCCTTTTGTTTTTATGTTTCTGTTTTAATTTTTGTAAAGACAAAGCTTGTTCAATAATGGAAGCAATAGTAATATTTTATTGAACCTGTGCTGATTGTATTTTGTTTAATGCTCGTCTAATCACCTCACTTGCACCCTTTTTTCTCCAGTTTAACCATACTGTTTAGAATGTCCATTGTATGTGTGTGGGCATATATGCGTGAGCACAAATACTGTTGTATTTTACATTGCTACCATTTCTTTTTTTTATAATAAATTGCTAATAGTTAAATTCCATGGACTTTGATGCTTTCTGGCTTCTAAAAAAAAGAACAATTAATGATTAATTTGTCAATGTCATTTCAGGCATTCGGGCCTCAGCATGAGACAGATATAGAGGTACTGTCAGGGTGTTCTAAGTCATGATGGCAAACTAAATAAATTTCTATTCCTATCTAATATATTTAAATTTGTGGCATATATATTAACAACTCCATAAAAATATAAAGTATGGGAATCTCTGACTCAGGAAAGTGCATAGTTTTGTTATAAAAAAAGGAAACTTTTAGAAAATAGTGGCCAGTGAACAGTTCCATGTTAATTTATTTAACCAAGTCCCGTGCTATTTATTGCAATTTACTGCCAGTAAGAATGCTTGTTCATGCCTGAGATGAAGCAAATAGTCTATCTGATATTATAGTAGGAATAGTCTGAAATTATAGTCATTATCTAATTAAAAAGCTAGAAGTATACATTTTCTGGACATTTTGGTTCCACAAATAACATTTCTCCTTTTTTCCTATTCTAAAATAAAACAAAAAATAGCAATACTTGGTGTTCTTTACCAATCTTGTTATTTTGTCACCATAGGAATATAATGCAGTTTATGTATGATTGCTCATAAAATCATTTTAATATAATATTAATATTGATTAACCAATTTGAAAGTGTGCTTGGGTATTTTTGAAACAAACCTATGAGATTAGAAATCAGTTATTTATATAGAAAATACATTGATGTGGTCAATGAAAGGGTTAATATTCTGACTTCAAAACCCTTGTATTTCTATTAAAAATAGTGTTTTCTTTTAACTTTTTTTTGTGGTGTTTTCTTCTTTTATGGAATAAAAGCATGAAAAGACCAGAGAGAATTTCTTCCGAAGCGTTTATATTGACAAGGCCTAGAACAAATAAAACAATTGGTTAACTCAATACAGCATGTACTCAAAAAGATACACCTTAATTTAAAACGATCCTCTTCCAGAAAGAAAATACTGTATCTAGAAGAATAGACTCTCTCCTCTAACAGGGTATCCCAGAGGATAGAAATAAACTGTGCTCTCTCAAGGGCAGGATATCAAGGAAAGCACTATTTTTATTTTTTCCCTGCACAGAAAAGGAAGATAATTTTGTGAGAGTTATTGTAAATTTATTACAGTCAAAGGAGCCAGTTGGTTGCTGGAGGCAAAAGATTTTGTGTTTTGTCTTAAAAATTTTGTTCACAATTGTAAGAAAATAATGCAGTTAACCATCCCATTCATTCACCCAGCAGATCAAAAGTATAATTTTACTGGAGCTTAAAAGATTACAGAAGTTTAGTGAAGCTGGTCCTGGCGTTTTAGTGCACACTCTATACAATTAACATTTCCTTTTCTCTGGCCATCCCCACTGTTATCAGCAAACATTTAATTAAGTGCTGGTATATTGTTTGGGTAATAGGCCTTTGATTTTACATACTTTTCTGCTTTGCACTCCAATGGGTGACCTTGGCTAGCAGGTGTATTTGCCTCATTCCTTAGCCATCATGCTTAGATTCCTCCCCCCAATGTCAGGCTGTTAGTTTACAAAGTTTGGCTTGGGGAACAGCAGCCATGACATGCATAATCCATTTTTAAACCTTGAGAAAACATAAATCTTGGAATTTTCCTTCTAAGACTTTACAGCTGATAAAGCCCACTTGTTGATATGAATATTGCATAAGACAGGCAGTGAATTCTACTGAAAGGTCTGGGAGATATTTGGATTTTTTTTTGCTTAAGATCAAGTATTTTCTAGATAGAAGTTATAAAAATTGTATTGTGAAAGCAACAATTTTTGGAAACTTGTTAACTCTTGTTACTCTTAATACAGTAGTAAAGATGTTGTCCATCTGAAGAGCTACAATGCAACACAGAACCAAAAGTTCTATATAAATTATTGTTTAATGTGACTTTTCCTTATGCTTGTGTTATGACAACTGAAGATAAGTACATCACTTAGTCTTACCTAATTTTCTTAGATACTTCCATAAACATTTTTAAACAAGTGATTGGCATTTAAGGAAAAAATATATATACATATGAATGTCTAAATAAAGTAATGATTTGGAGAAAGAATTATAGAGAAGGTACTACTTGCAAAAAATTATTTCTCATAGCTCAATTTTCCACTTCAAAATCACTTAACTAAATCAAAACTAATTAAATTTGTTAACCATTTATACAAAAAAAATTAATGTTATGAATGGAATCTAATTATATGGAAACAACATAAATCTTAGCATACTAATAAGCATAAACTCAGGAGTTGGAGACTGATTCCTTGAAAAATTAATCTGTTTTTTATTTTTGTAAAATGTTGCCACATTTCTCAAAGCAGTATGAACAGCATTTAAAAACGATGAATGCAAAAACAACTGTGCAGCCAATTAAGAAGGCTATGACATCCAGACAGTGATACTGATACTGATACCAAGTCAAAATGATAGGCAGCTACTTGCAAATGCTTGGCACCTTTGTGACGTATGACAAATTCAATCCAAAAGATAGCCCGGTCCAGTGGCTTTATCAGTTGAGCATGATGGATTTCTGATACTTTAAGCGCATTTTTCTTAAAACTGGAAAAATTAAAGGACAAGGAAAAGAATAAGAACAAATTAGAAAAGAGTCAGAAATCAGCTTTCTATTGTTTTTAAGAACTTCAGTCTTCAAGCACTTAACGGACTTTACATCAAACAATCTACTGATTTGTCAAAATTCAAACTGGCTTAGCGCCTGTTATACTGTGTTTTTCCAACAATACAGCCTCCACCAATAGGAAGGCCCAGCATGATTTCTAGGCATGAGGTGAAATTAAGCCCTGCCCCCCAAATTTAGGCCTATTTAAACCATGCATTTCCCCACCATTTCTCACATCGTTAGAACTACATGAGCTGAAAAGAAATGGGGAAGGGCGGGGCAGGGTGGGGAGAAAACTTGCCTTTAGAAGCGCCCTGCAGGTAGCCTAGGCTAGAATACCCCGATCTACTTCCGATAGAATATCAGCCGATAGAAGCTCCCTGAAGGCAGGGTCACCAGCCACTTCAATCGGCCGGTAAAAGTGGCCTCAGGGCGAGCACCCACGCACACTCCCCTCGCCGTGAGGCCACTTCTATCGGCCGATGAAAGCTCCCCAAAGGCAGAGTCACCAGCCGCTTCACAGCAAGGCATGGCTGCCTGTGGGGTGCTCCTGACAGGAGAAACTACCGTGAGGGGAGTGTGGGCACTCGCCCCGGGGCCGCTTCTACCGGCTGATCAAAGTGGCTGGTGACTGCCCTTGGGGAGCTTCCATCGCCTGAAAGACACTGCCTCATGGCGAGGTGAGTGTGCATGGGCACTCCTGTCAGGAGCGCCCCACAGGCAGCCACGCCTCACCCCGAAGTGGCTGGTGACTCTGCCTTCGGGGAGCTTTCATTAGCCGATAGAAGCGGCCTCGCGAGGGGAGTGTGTGTGGGCACTCACCCTGAGGCTGCTTCTACCAGCCAATCAAAGTGGCTGGTGACTTCCCTTGGGGAGTTTCCATCGCCTGAAAGACACTGCCTCATGGCGAGGGGACGCAGGCAGCCATGCCTCGCCCCAAAGCAGCTGGTGACTCTGCCTTTGGAGAGCTTTCGTTGGCCGATAGAAACGGCCTCATGGAGAAGTAAGTGCGCATGGGGCGCTCTAGGTGGGGGAGGAAATTAAGTCACCCCCAAAAAGACTGCCTAGCCATTTTCTCGGGAGTCAAAGGAAAATAAGGCCCAGCCTTATTTTGTGAGAAACACGGTAGTTTCTCACTCAAAATAAGTTCCATTGCTATCACAACCAACCGCTAGCTTATTTATACTCTAGTAAAATACTATTTTATCTTCAGCGACACTTATATCCTACTCATTTTCATGTATAAAAAATATCAAAAAGTTGGCTAGAATTTTAAGATCCTTTTCTAAACAATAAATTTAGATATACTGAGCAAAGCACAAATGCGTTCTATATCAGGGAAAGGATGATGCTCCAAATTCCATATAGTTCTAAGTAGCACAGATAATTGGAAGGGATCCAATCCAGTAAAATGCTCAAAGTACATATTCTACTGTTCTCTTTTTATAGATAGACAAAAATTAGGCCTAACTGAGATAAAATATCATAACTGGAAAAGTAATCAGAATTCTATTTTTGGAAAAATAGTCATGACATCAAAGAAAAACCAGCAAATTGATTACTATGAATATCTTAGACACAATCTGTATCTCAATTTCTGAAGAGTTTATAAACAACTCACAAAGCATTATGAATGACAGTATTCACAGCATTTACTAAATCTTCTGCTTTCATTGTGTGGATGTCCAGTTCCACGGCCATTCCCTTTGCCTTCATACGGATAATATTATAAATCTGGTCTGCAAATAGGGGAATCCCTACTATGGGAATTGCATGGTAAATGGCTTCATAAATTCCATTTGCTCCACCATGTGTTATAAATGCTTTGGTCTTTGGATGACCTGGAAGAGAAAGATGAAAATTATCTGACAAAATACTTTAGGATATGAGCAAAATGACTTTTATTCAATCTAAAAGAGCTAAAAGTGTCTTACCAAGAAGATCATTTTGTGGTATCCAATCATAGGTCCTTGTATTGGCTCCAAGCATTTCTAGCTTTTTCCCCTTATACCGCCAAATAACCTAAGGTAAAAATAATTGGAATGCTATTCCATGTAATACAAATTGCAAACAATGTTAGAATTTTTCCTTGCTCATGAGTTTCTGATATTCTAGTTTGGGTTTGGGGTTTGAATTGGGTCATGGATCTTTTAATGTTGCATTCTTGTGAAATTGCTGAAATTCCAAGAGATTACAAGATAATTTAAATGCAATAAATAAATAAAATTACATGCCATTCTTTTTTATGACAATAAAATAGTGAAATCATTTTACTAGTAATTCTTGTTTTGAATTCTACTTGCATTTACAACATTTATGTTCCATAATTAAAATTTAATAGATGCTTATTGTATTTCTTGTGTCTTTTATCATAAAGTTCATAAAAAAACATGAGTTTTAACAAAAAATATTTACAATCCCTTCCCTAATAGCATGGGAATTTTCAGAAAGAAGTTACATAAAATCAGTTGAAAATGCACGTGTTCTAAATTGTCAAACTCTAAACAAGTTAAAGTTATCAGGATAAGAAAATTTTAGACATTGTTCAATTAAATGAAAATTATGAAATATAAACATCCTTTGTAAATCAGTAAATCAGCAGTTTATTGGAGAAGAAAATGAACAGATTTCTGGAATATCCATAAAGTGTTCTTCCTCACAGAAATTTGTGCGTGTGACTTAACACGTAGGAGACTAACCTTTTGTGGAAGCTGGCTGAGTGCTGATGCAATTATATTATTTTTTTCATCTGTAAGTTTTGAACCAGTGAACCAAGGGAAAATATTA